CTGGGTCACAGCAACGGTAAGACCAACCCCCCCCCCCCAAAACCCCAGAGGGGTGTCTTTAACTCTCTCCCTCCCTTAAATCACATCCTTGTCCCCAGGGACGGTGACGTTGTGGAGTCCCACTGTGTCGGAGCCACTGGTGCGGATGCTTTGCCACCGTGGTGCCCTGCGGGCACTCGTCGTTGATCCCACCGGCACGTGAGCACTGGGAAACATTTTGGTGGGGGGGGACACACACCTAATGAGGACCGGTGTGTCACTTTTTTGTGTGTCCCCCCCCACTTATTTCTTTTCCCAGGTACATGGCATCAGCGGGGCTGGACCGCAAACTGCGGCTGTTCGACCTGCGGACGTACCGGGTGCTGCAGGAGCTGGTGCTGCCGCAGGGTGCCGGGCACCTCGCCTTCAGCCAACGCGGGGTGCTGGCAGCCGCCTGCGGTGACCTAGTACAGGTAGAACCCGCCCCCAACACCCCCCTGATTTGTTCCTCTCCTATGACCTCCCTAAATGTGTGTCCCCCCCAAAAAAACAAGGTGTACAAGGGAGTGGGGAAGGAGGTGCCACCCCAACCGTATCTCTGCCATCGCCCGCCCCGGCCACCACACGGGCTTCGCTTCTGCCCCTTTGAGGACGTCCTCGGTGCCGGCCACAGTCACGGTTTTACCAGCATTTTGGTGCCAGGTAGGGTGGCCCCCACCCAAGGGTGTCAAAAGCCTGTGTGTGGGATGTTTCCGGACAACCCACTCACCCATTATCCCCCCCCTGCTGCTGTCTAGGTGCCGGTGAAGCCAATTTTGACGCGTTGGAGAACAATCCCTATCGCAGCCGGCGGCAGCGGCAGGAGTGGGAGGTGAAGGCGCTGCTGGAGAAGGTAATTTGGGGGGGGGGCACCCCCAAAACTGCTGGGGGGGCCAAAAGTGCAGCTGACCCCCAAACCTTTTGCTGATCCCCTAAATCACCGCTGGTCTCCTTAAACTGCTGGTGATTCCCCCAAATGGCTACTGAACCCCCCCCAAATGGCTACTGAGCCCCCCTAAACTGCTGCTGACCCCCCCAAGCTCCTGGGGGGGCCCCCAAAAATTCTGCTGCCCCCCCAATCCTAATTCTGACCCCCCAAACCGCAGGTGACTCCCCCTAAAACTACTGCAGACACCCCCCAAAATGTAGCTGACCCCCCCAAATCTCCTGACCCCCCCAAACTCAC